TTTCATTTCTCGGGATGAACATCCAAGAGTGCATATACCTTTTGCTTAGATTCACTGGTTTTAACATTTTGTCTCATTTCCTTTATAATTTGTGTTCCTTCTCTCTCTCTCTCTCTCTCCACACACAAATATAAATTTTTTTTCTGAACTGCTTGAGAATAAATTGCATACATGATTACCCTCAATTTTACAGTATTTTCCAAGAATACAGCTATTTTCTTATGTACCTAAAGTTGTCAAAATTGATACAACTATGATTATATCTACCATCTTACAGTTTGCCAGTTGATTCAGTAATGCATCGTTTAGCATCTTTCCCCCTCTAGCGCAGGATCTAGTGTAGGGTCACACATGGCACTTAGTTGTCTTCTTTAATCTGGAACAATTCTTTTAGCCTTTGTCTTTTATGACATTGATATTTTTGAAAAATAAAACCCTCTTTTTTTTTAAAAAAAAAAGGATGTTCCTCAATTGGTATGTTTTGTTTCCTCATGATTAAATTCAAGTTATGTATTATTCTTTGCCTGAATACTACGTAAGAGGTGTTGTTTCCTTGAGAAATACATCTTATTGCATTAGAAAAAATTCCTTTTAGTCCTAGTTTCCTAAGAACTCTTAATTCAGAATGGGTGTTGGGTGCACATTGTTAGAGCCTGGAGTCGAGGCCATTGGCTGGCTGGTGGACTCCAAATAGTGTAGATAGTGTGCTACCTGAGCGACAGTGGTCTCTGGCTCAGTGAATGCAGTTGGATAGTAATTCTAGTGATAAGTATTTTTAAAAAAAATGCATTTTGGCTTCTCTCTTCATGATGATTTGGTTCCATTCCATTGATTTACCAATATAATGAATATGTTAACAGGTTTCATGATGTGAATTATGTTAGAATAAACATTCTCTACCATGTGTTCCTGTTGTACGATTTTAAAAATTTAATTTTGGACTTTTAATTTTTTTATATTGGGTTTTGCATTTATGTTTATAATAAAAATTCTTCTGTAGTTCTTTGTGTGAAAGAGTGTGTGTTTCTTTGTCATATTTGGTATTGGAATTGTTTAGATGCCTAGAATAAATTGAAAAGCTTCCATAAAATTGAAATTACCTGCCTCTAAAACCATCTCTACCTGGTGCAGTTTGGGAAGAGAGTATGGATCTTTGGCAGTGTTTTCTGGTTTCTTCTCTGGTTAAAGATCTATTTAGGTTTTTACCCCCCTCCCCCCTTTTTTAAAAAGTTCTGTCCTGTTCTACTTTCTATCGCTCTTAGAATAAAGACCTAGTCTCTGCATTTGGGGTCATGAACTCTTCACCCTGCCTGTGTGTTGTCACCATTCTTTTATTTCTTCAGTTGCTAGAGCTAGAAACCTCTGAGATCTCCTATATTTCCCCTTTATGTTCAAACCAAGTCTTACCAATTCTGTGATTAATTTGTATTTTGAACCTATCTCCCTTTTTCCACCCCTACTGCTACCTGGATCCTTCCAGTTGTCTTAATGGGTTTTTTAGTCCCCAGCCTCTCCTTCCAAATCAGCCTCTGAACTGCAGCTGCAGTGATCATGGTAACATACAGATGTGATCATGTTAGGCCCCTGCTCAGAATTCTTTGGTGATTCCAGGGCGGAGCTTTACTCCAGTGCTTCTGACTTGGGTACGACACTCCTTTTGCCTGTCCCTGTTTTCCAGCTTCTAGCTTCCATTGGTGCCCCAGCAGTTCAGCTGCACCTCATTACCCAGAATTTCTTTGGTCATGTTTTTTTCTGTTTGCCCTCTGACCCTCTTCTCAGCCTTGTGCTTTCCTCTTTATCCTTGAGCATTTCTCCTTTCTTGCAAGGCTTCGTCATTGAAGCCCTCCCTGAGGAGAATTCACCAACAGAATTTACCAGCTCCTTTCCATGCAGCTACCTTACTTTTGCTCTTTGTGACTGTAGTTCTATTGAAACTGTTTTTTACATGCCTTTTTCTGCTATATCCTTTGAACTTTTTAAGGGCGAAACTTTGCATGTAGTGTTAGCACAGTGCTTGGCTCCATAGATTCTCAGATGTTTGTCGAATGACAAGCTGTGGTTAAAGGATTGTGAGAAAATTAATTTGATTGAAGCAGAAGGTTATAATAGGAGAAGGGAAGATTATGAAGTGACTAAGATGTTTGGCTAAGGAGGTCTTTAGTTAGCAAAAGGAGTGCAGGAAGGAGGCAAGAGGAGGCAAGGCCATTTATTATTGTGCTACAGATACTGATTAAAGTACTATTATGATATTCTTCAATTTTTTGGTCTTAGTGTGGGTGCTGGTTTTTCAAATTGATGAAGATTGCTACCAAGGTAAAATAAATTACCTTACATTAATAATAATTACATTAATAATAATAATAATAGTGAATGCTTTTTGAGTGCTTACTATCTACAGGCACTCTTGTGAGAACTTTACTTATGTTATCTCATTTAGTACTCCTGACAGCTTTACGAGGTAGGTTTTAGTATGACCTCTTTTTAGATGGTAAAATTGGGGCACAGATGCCCAGAGCCACAGCTTTTAAGAGGCAGAACTAGGATACAAAACCTGAGCATTTTGGCTGCAGAAACCTCTTAACCACTAAACTCTGCTGTCTTCCATTAATCTTACAGACTATTGGGTAGCACCTAGCCTTCTAGAAGCTGGCATTTTAACCTTGAACTGAGGACCGGTGAAACCATTTTCTATGTGAGTGACGAATGCAAGTATCATTGGACTTCTTTTTCTAGTAGATACTCCATTTTGTGGTGGCTTCAAATGTTTCATCTGTTGTCTCAAGTGGAAGCTAAAATTGAGCCTCTTTGCATCTGATTAGCATTTAGGGTACGTTTTGAAAGTGTTAAATATTTGAAATGAAGTTAAACACCACCAGCTGGTTGTCTTAGCAAATTAGAAATGACAGTTAAGAGGAAGCCCTGTTAAGTTGCCTGGCTCCTGTTGTTCAGGGCAGGTAAGGATTGTTTCTTCCAGCACATTCTTCAGTGCTTGGTCTAGTCTTTGTTAATTGTCTCAAAGATATAGCTCCACTATCCCTGAAGGAAGGCAGTTTTTCTAATCTCTGATCGTAGAGTTTTTCTTTGTAATTAGATGTGGAGATTGAGATGTACTTTATTCTAAGTTTCCTTTAAGGTCAGTACCATCTGAAGTAACACAGAATAGATGAGTCTGGGTTTGCCAAGATTACAGTTGCTGTGGGAAACATAACTTTGGATTTCCTCACATCTGGATTAGTGAAATTTACACCAAGCCTCTGTATGAATATATGTTTTATATTTTATGTACATCTAGAGATAGCAAGTCTTAGTGATGTAGCTTCTCCATATATGACAAATTGAACATTGGCAGTCTGAAGTTTTAAAATAATCCTAAGATTCTGAACTTTGCTGTGGAGCCAATGTCTCATGCTCTGCTCAGAAGGCTTGCATCTGGGTAACTGGAGCTCTGGAGTGGAAGTGGAGGACCAGCCAGGGGCCTGTAGACTTCAGGTTTGTTTTGTCTCCCCGAGAAGTAGGGATTCTAGTGGTGCTGTTCTGAGTTCTGTTTTTGAAGCAGCAAGAAGAATTGCTGCAGGCCTTAGTTGCATTTCAGTATTTTCGGAATTCTTTTGGTTATTTGTTTTCTCGGATTGTTCTATTTTTCTACTATCTACCTAAAGTTATTAACTATTAAATCTGTGGTAATGCCCTTGTGGGTGGTAGAGGTTTTTATCTAGGAAATGTGGAATCTTGTAAAGCAACAAACCCTAGAGTCACCATCTTTGAAGCTCACTCGTGTTGAATGGTGTGAATGTGGACCTTAATTTCTCTACGGAAAGGAGGGCTAACATCAGTTTGTCTTGGGAGGCCTCTCTCAGGTCCCCCAGTACAGGGCACTCAATTGAAAGACCAGATTTCAAAATTAGCAGGTTGCCTTAGGGGTCATTAAAGTCTCCCCATCTTTTCATCTGTGGTCTGGATTTAGTCTTCGTCTTTTTGCCATTTGGAATTTGGTGTCCTGCATTCCTCCAGATGCCTCGAATAATGCTAGAATTCTTCTTCGTGATTTTGAGGGGATGGTACAGCTGCTTGTGACTTTGCACGTCTTCCCCCGGGAGTCTCTGCAATGCATGACAAGGACCTTGTGTTGTAGGCAGGAGTATAATTCTTAGCAAGGACTTATTGTAGATAGTAAATTCTAGATGTTTGTGGCTGCAGCCCTGAGAGTAGGCATTGATGTAGCAACACTTAACCAAGAAGAAAGTAATGATCTGATAGATTTTTTTAAGATAAAGAGCCAACAAAAGTAAAATAAAATAAAGAACTAACACAGAAGCTAGGTTCATAATAATCTCTTGTGTAAAGTGAAAGAAAAATAGTTTTCATGAAAACTGACATTTTATTTGACGTACTATGAATCTAGGGATGACTACTTTCAATTCTTGTATATTTTAGTCTTTGTGTTAATTTGATTATAGATTCTGAAAGTTACACATTTTTCTAAATTGGCATGGTAAAATCGGCCTTCTGGGTAAGCTTTGCAATTCTTGCCTTTGTCTTATTAACTTTGAGATTAATGTTTGTGGGTCGATAATGGTTTCGATTACCATTTGAATTATGCTTATAGCTGGTGGATGACTTATATTCTCAGCTTTATTATTAAGTAGCTGTTCTTTATCACAGCATGAAATTTGGATTACACCTGTATGATAATCTTGTTTCATAAAATGTATGTTTTATGTAAGTAAAGGCCTTAAGGGTAACAGTAGTTATCACTGAGTTGTTTGCTGAATAGAATATTTTGCTATTTATGACCTGTAATTTAGATTTTTACAAGGGACTTTAAAAGTCTTCCCTTGTGTTTCAGTATAATTTGGTATGTATAGGTCTATATGGGGCATACGAAATGTTTATGTGTTTGTATGTGTAGGAGTAGACGAAATAACATTGGCTATTTATTGGTAATTGTTGAATTTGAGTGATGAGCATGCATTCATTACTTCATTCTTTCTACTTTGTAGGTGTATTTACATTTCCAAAATGAAAAGATAAAAGAACCTCCCCAAAAGGTAATGAAGAAAAGTGATAAGATTCCAGACAGACTTTATTTGATGGCATGGACTAGGAGTTTGTGCAACACATGTCACGGTTTCTAATACCTTTTAGGGTGGTGTTTTCAGTGCTGCTGAAGCACTGCCCTGAATTAAGTCAGGAGAGAGAATATTCTGTGTTTGCTCAAGTTTACTGATCATGGAAGAGATATTCCAGTGTGACTGACTGCTCACATATCATGAAAATAAAATCGTGTATATTTTTGAGATGCTTTCTTTTGCTATTTGGTGCTGAGTATGAATTCTGACACCAATGGGTACCTTCCTTCTTTAGATTCTGATTTTTGTTTTAAAAAGTGAAGTTTATATTCGGTCCCTATTCTTTAAGATTCCATTGGATAAAAAGAGATCTCTTCTTATTTCTAAAGGTCTTTGACCTGAGTCTTTTGCTACTTGGTCTAAAATTTGTCTCCAAAGTTTGCACATTTATCCCAAAAGAGAGAATAGAATAAATTTCAAGGGGTTGGAAATGACAGTTGGTTTGAAAGTCTTTAAAGCATGATCTTATTTGTACTCTTATTTGTCCCAATTTGATAATTCTGTAGATGTTTTTAATCATAGTAATAAAAAATGGGAGAGAAACACGAGATTGAATTTATAACATAATCCTGTACAAAGTACACATGGCAGGGCAGCCCGGGTGGCTCAGTGGTTTAGCGCTGCCTTCAGCCGGGGGAGTGATCCTGGAGATCCGGGATCAAGTCCCGCACCAGGCTTCCTGCATGGAGCCTGATTCTCCCTCTGCCTCTGTCTCTGCCTCTGTCTCTGCCTCTCTCTGTGTCTCTCATGAATAAATAAATCTCAAAAAAAAAAACAACAACCAAAAACCCCAAAGTACACATGACAAATGAAGTTGCTGAAAAATGAAGCACTTTCCACTTCACAATATTTTTGGGTCTTATTTGGTAGCAAAGCTTATATTTGAGAAGAGCCTTGGTTGATCTCTTTTGATTTTGGTTTTGTATGCTGCCGAATTGCATATCTTACATATGTTGTGTGTCATTTATGACTAGAACTCTGGTACTTCAATGGCATTAAGATGATTCTGTCTTTATTAGGCAGGGAGATGATACTTAGATCTATTCTAACAATATCCTTAATGTACTTCTTGCCTTTACTGATGTACTGCTATGTATTATCAAGATGTGAAAATATTAAACTCCAGAATTCACTTAAATCTTATAGGCACTGAAATTCTAGTGTTACATGAATTTATAAAAGCACTTCATAAGCAGAGGAAGGCTAGTTCAATTAGCTTTAAGGATTTTTAAAAAATCTCATATCTGGGGAAATGTAGTGTTTTGAAGACAACTATTATCTCTTAAAATTAGAATTGAGAAACATTACGTAGACTTCCATTCTTTATCAGTGTCAAGGTATATTGCCAAACTGTCTTTTCAATTCCCATTATGACTTTAGGCCATAATAAATTATCATCATGTTATCAAGAACATTTATTCTACTTTGTAGGGTACTGTATAGGAATAGTCATAAGACATAGTCCCTGCTTGCTTTTTTTTTTTTTTTCCCCTTTCTGAGAGAGTATGCACATACATGCGTGGCGTGGGGGAAGTGGGGAGGGGCAGAGGGAGAGAAAGAATCTTAAGCAGGCTCCCTGCCTGACTCCGGGTTCTGGGTCACCACTGTGAGATAGTGACCCGAGTCCAAAATCAAGAGTCAGGTGCTTAACTGACTGAGCCACCCAGGCTCCCCATAGTCCCTGCCCTTAAATAATTTACAATTGTTGAAGAGTAACAGGGCATCTCTTCTAATTAATTCATTCAGTAAACATTTCCTGGGTGCTTTTTGTGTGGCAGCCCTGCTAGGCCCTGGGTTACAGTGGTGAGCCAGACAGATAAGACCCCACAGTTTTGGAGCTTATATTGTAGGATCTTAAATACTTAACATGCTGATATGCTCAACAATGTAATTGTTCAGGACTTTATAAGGGAGGTACTACTTTGTTCTGGTGTGGTTAGGATAGGCTGTATTGAGAGGGCTAGGATATGAGCTGGACAGGAAGTAGAGTGTTTATTTCGCTGTGTGTATTCTGTGGAATCTGCTGTACAGGATTTTGCAGTGAAATAAATGTGGAAAGTATGGCACATGGGATTATAAAGAAAGGACCCCCCCCCAAAAAAAAAAAGGATCCCATGAGCTAGAAAAATTAGGTGAGGTTCATAGAAGGGAGAGGATATGGAATTTGAGCTGTTCTTTAAGGGTAAAATTTTAAATTTGTGTTTGGAGTAGAGGGTGAGTGGATTGTGTAAGCTTAAGGAGCACAAGATGTGTTGGGGGAGTATTAGTCAGAATGTACCCATCCTTCTGTCCCCCTTCTCCCATCACAGAAGCTATCATTTATCTTTGGCCCTACCTTCTCTACTCTTCTTTCCTATCAGTATTTATTTTTAATTTTTAATTTTTTTTTCCTATCAGTATTTTAACACATTCAAGTTTCCCCTTTAGTGAAAATGATAGTAACAACAAATGGAAACCCTATTTTTAAATTTCATCTTTTCCTCCTCACAGCCAGACTTCACAGAAGAGTCTCCTGAACTCCTTAGTTCCATGTCCTCCCTGCCCATTAATGCCTTCTCTTTGGTTGTTGTTTTGTACTTTACAAAAATAGCTTTTGCCAAACTGGAGCATTTGTGCTGCTACGTCTGATGAACACTCTGTTCTTATTTCACTTCTCCTAGCTGTGTATGATTTTATTGCCCACTACCTTCTTGAAATCTTGATTCTTGACAGCACTCTCTCCTAGGTTTTCTCTTGTATCTCCCTCAAAGGTGCCTTCTGATTATCTTCTCCCTGCCAGTTGAGCTTTGAAGCTCCTTAAGTCTCAATCTTAGGCTCCATCTCATTTTTCTCTCTACTCTCTTCCTTGGCTGATCTCATTTACGTTCACAACTTCAATTATTCTTTGTTCTCTGGAGACTCGCAGATTTGACTTCAGCCCAGATGTTGTCAGAGCTCCTGACTTGGATACATAGCTGCCTGATTGATATCGTCTGTTGGCGTTGCAGTCACCTCACGCTCAGCTTGTCCAGTACTGGGCTGATGATCTCTACTTATCTACCCCAATCCAGTACCCTTGTCCCAGTGAATGTCCCTGCCATCCATTAAACTATCATGAAGTTATCCTTGATCATCCTCTTTCCCTCACCTTCCATGTCTAGTCCATCATGTTTTGTTGTTTTGGCCTCCTAAATATTTCTTGATTAAAATTTCTTGATCTCAATACAATCGTTTTTTACATGGACTGATCAAATACCTACCATACTAGGGACCCCATTCATTCCTGACCTCTCATTTCCAGCTCATTCTCTACCCTGAAGCTAGAGGGATCTTATCTGAATATAAATCTGATCATATCACCTTCCTGATTGAAAGCACTTGAGTACCTTCCCCTTGTTTATAAGAAAAAAACCAAAGTTCTTCATATATCCTGCAAGTTATAGCAGGGTGTGGTCCCTGCTTTCCTTCCAGCCTGACCTTACCACACTTCCCCCTTTTCTCTGAGCTATAGCCACATTCCTTGGGTGTGTTATATACACTCCCACTCCAGGGTGTACATTTCAGTTTGAAATTACACATAGATTTGTATAATTGTTTGAGTAACATCTTTTCTTCCACCCTAAACTAAGCTACATGAAAGGAAAAATTGAGTCTTTTCCATTGTATTCTGCAGGGTCAAGCATAGTACCTGGTCCACTGTAGGAGCTCAGTACATTTTTGTTAAATGAGTGGGAGTTTCATTCAACAGCATAAGCCATGAGAAGATGTGTGAAGGGACACAAAAGTAGGAAGTAATGTGAGCAGATGCTGAAGAACCTTCTGAGGCAGTGGCATGAGAGTTAACTAGGGTGATGCCATGAGCAGAGCCATTCACTAGGAAGGGTAAACTGGCTGTGGGATTTAGGATACAAAGCAGAAGGGGCTATTAGCTGTCAGTTTAGGAGAGAGACAGTATGGACCAGTACTAGAACACTGTCAGGGGGGCTGTTACATGTCTGAGAGTAGAGAGTGAATGCAGTGGGGCTGTGATGGATTGTGGTTGATGGCTTTTTGGTGACAGACTTTAAGTGAGTTTCATTATTTCAGTCTCTTAAATTCAGCATTTCATTTTTCCTGGGGAAATAGTAGAATTTTTCTCAAACCTTACTGAGCTGTTATTTAGCAGTCACTTTGCTAAACTTTGGGATTACAGAAGTGAATAAAATAGTTCATAATCTAAGTCTCTAAATTACCCTTTCTAATAAAATGGCTTTTAAGCTTAGACTAAAACTATAAACCTAAATTCCACTAAGAGTTATAATACTTGATAAGTTAAAGAAGCAATTCAAGCTAGTACAGCATCAGCCTTTTTCTACTATGTGAGATGGTCTTTTTTTCTTTATGAATAACCCTTGATTGATGCCAGCAGCCCCAGAATTATCCCTGAGGGTCTGAAACTCTTCAAATGTAATTCCCTGGAGATTTTCATAATGAACCTGAAGTGATAGGTTGTAGGTAAATGATGTCCAGCCAATGTCTTTCATTAAAATGAAAGAATTATATATACATAAGTCCCCTCTACCTGTCCACTTTACTACCTAAGGATAAAACAGAACTGAGGAAAGGAAAAAAAAAAAATCCCCAAAACAGAGAGACCTAAGGTTCTAACTACTCTTTGGTTTTCTGAGAAGAGCTCTAATGTTCAACATATTGAATAAAAATTTCTTGTCATTCAGCTATGTTAAAGAACAGGTCCTAGAAATGAAAAAAAAAATTAAAAAAGTTTTTTAAAGATTTATTTGAGAAAGAGAGCAAGAGAGAGAAGAGAGAGAGAGAGCGAGCACATGAGCAGGGGGGAGGGGCAGAAGGAGAGGGAGAAGCAGATTTCTCCCTGAGCAGGGAGCCTGAGGCAAGGTGCCATCCCAGGACTCTGGGATCATGACCTGAGCTGGAGGGCAGAT